TCCCCAGGGGTGTCTCAGTCAGCTTGCAGGGCACAGGCAGGGCCAGGGCCATGAGGAAACGTCGGAGAGAGTCTGGCTTTAAGGCAACAGCATTCACCCCGGCTTCAATGAACTCCTCATGGATCTGCTGCAAGTGGCTGAATGCTGGAACCAGTTTCATGTTCAGGGCCTGCAGCACCTGATGGAGATTTGGGTCAGGCATTGCCTTGAGGAAGTATGGCTCAGTTAGCAAGTCTCCTCCACCTGGAGACATCCAGGTTATTGTCACCATGCTGCCAGGTGACGACTCATGGTACACAGGCACCAGGGGCAGGCGTGCATGACTGAGGTGCTTATAGACCTCCCTTACCATGCCCTGAAAGGTAGACTGCACCCCTGTCGTAACAGGGAAGAACTGGAGCAAGTGGGAGGCCAGGTGCTCCTGGCAGGGATACAGAGACTTGTACTGGAGCTCTTCTGTGCCCAGAGCTTTCCACTGCCTGGTGAGAAAGTCACAGTATAGTGGAACCATCAAACGCTGGAGCAAGAATTGATTCCAGGCTGCCTCTGTGTGGCCTTTGTCCTGTCGGAGGCTGCGCCTGGCTGCATCCACAGAGAAGTTGGCGTTGATGTGCACAGGCAGACCAGTGTTCAATGCCAGTGGGAGAGTGCAGAAGGCTCTGCCCTTAACTCTGTGCAATGGCTTCAGGCAGGCAGCCACAGCCCCATAGGGCAGTCGCTCAAGCACTGGAGACTCCTCGGCCCCCTCCTGAACCCCAATTTGGTAGACTACTCGCCACAAAGTACTGGTCTTGGCCTTGCTGTTTTTGACTCTCATGATATAGGAAGCAGTGGTGGAGCTGACCCCATCCACGGCTTGGCTCAGTCTCGCTTGAAAACCCCATCTCAGCTCTGCATCACCATCTGTAAGCTCTGTGGTAATCCGCAGCTTCTCCACCAACCGTTTCCCATCTGTGGGGATCTCAGAGAATACCACAGTGTGGACGTGCCGGAGGAAAAGCACCAAGTTCTCACCTTCCTCAGCCAGTGTTTCCTCCATGTCCCTGAGGTCTTGCTCTCGCACGACCATGTCAGACACCTTGGACTTGAAAGCCCCAGCTGCAGTGCGGAGTGGCAGCCGGAAAAGGACACCCTGGTTCAGGTTGAAGAGGGAGGGTAGGAAGGTGTCATAAACGTCTGGAAAATTCCTCTTGAATTCAGGGTTCACAGCAAACATCCCACCACGCTTCTCAGTTGTGGCTGTGGGCACATAGTAGAGGTGGGGATCAAAGACACACAGGGCACTGTCTCCTGTCAGGAAGGCTGGGCAGTCAGTATAGTGGAAGACAGTGTTAAAGCCAAGGCCATATTTGCCTGTGACATCCTGCCTGCCTTGCTTGCCACCCATCCCCAGATGCTGAATGCCATCAATGTCCTGCTGCTGGAAAGGGCTGTCATTGTAGATGCAGAGGGCAGGGCCCTGCAAGAGGTTCCATTTCTCACTGAAAGTGGCCTTTACTGGGTGCTGCCGGCGGTCCCACACGAAGTGTATGAGCCCTGCACCAGCATCATCTGCATTCTGGAGCATCTCTTTCACTATATCAGGAGCAGATGTTGGGTAGTCCTTTAAGATGTTCTTCAGCCGTGTTGGCAAGTCTTCATGGGCTCCAAATGGCTGCATCCAGAGGCTCAGGTCATCAGTGACCAGTTGGCTCCTCTCCAGTGCTCGGTGGCGTGTGGTAAGCACCCCACAGTGCAGGGCTGCAGCTCGGGACAGCTTTTTATGGCACAGCAGGACATCTCTGTCTATTTGCATCCATGGTGTATCATTGAAGTGGAGCTTGTCCCGTGGACGCAAAATGCCCTCCTCGTCAGGCAGGAAGAGTTGCTGAGTCTGGTAGGCATCTGGCTCATTGCCATCTTCCATCAAGCCACATAACACCAGCCGCAAGACCAGAGACAGCTCTTCGGCAGGCAGTGGCTCTCCAGCATGTGTCTCTGCCAGGGTGCAGAGCACTTGGGCATAATCATCCCAGGTGAATTTGTGGCGCAGCCCCACACACTCCCAGAGTTGGCTGTAGGGCTTGTACTGCTCTTGGAGCTGGTGAAGGTATGGGACAGCTTCGAACGACAGTGTCTCAGCCACAGCCATGACTGGCACAAAGTGCGAGCCCACCAAGATGAAGGGCTCTCCTTGGGCCACTGCAGAAGCCACCTCATCCCAGCTGGAGTGTTCTTTCTGGAGCAGCTTGTTCAGGTGCTTGTAGCAGCAGTTGGTGCTGTCCTGCAGGTTCTCCAAAGGGAGAGCATTGGAGCTATTACACAGTGCCTGCAGTTGCTTAAGGACGGTACCTGATGGTATCTGCCGGTCCAACCCCAAGAAGGATGCAACCTCCTTGGAGAGGCTGAAGTTTTCCCCCAGATCTTTAAGAGCCAATACAGGGTGTATGAGTCCCACTAGTGGGGCATGGAGGGGATGGTAGAGCTGGGCAGCTGGCAGCAGCACATGCTCACCAGTGGGCAGTGTGCCAGGGAGGAAGGGCACAGTCCGGAATGCAGCCTGCATGGTGTTGTTCACTGTCTCCTTCATTACATCCTGAAGCAGCTCAAGGATGCAGGCAGCCCTCTGGCAGCCCTGGGCATGGTCCTCAGCCCAGACAAGCTGCACAGTCTTTGCCCGCTCCAGCAGCTCTGGCAGGGTCACTGTGTCCTTCACCATGCCTAGCCTCTCCAGTTGGCTTAGTGTCTCTGGGGAAAGGAAGGCATTCCCAGTGGGGAAGCGTCCATCCTTAGGGTCGTACAAAGCAGCAGCTCGGCCTCTGGGGTGCACCAGGTGGTTAATGAGCTGCAGGTGGCCATGAGGGGTGGC